TTTCTCGACATAGATTTAAGAATTTTTGTATAGATCTGAGGATTTAAGGGTTCGGGTACCTTTAATGATTCCAATGTGGTTTTTCCACAATTCACCCCCACCCTCACCCAGCACTGTAGCTCACAGCTACAGCCAAACTCTACACTCTTCACTCCATCCCACACACACAAATTATTACTTTACTGAGCAGACATGATAGTTACGGAACACGAAATTTTATACTGATAGTTTGATTTATTTACTGATAATTTTGTACATAATATTCAGCAATAAATTATTCTGAGCGTTTACAAAAAAATACTAAGCATTTAGTTTGTTCCCTTATTCTGCTAGTAGGAATAAAATCGTGGTAATGATATCTACTATCGGTGTCAAAATATAATGAAGGCGGATGTTACTATAATGATTCCAGAATGGAGGTCGCAACAACAGATTCAATGTTCAGTATGGGTCTATCCATGTAAACACCAAACGCAAAATAGACGCGATCAAACGCGGTTTGTGTCCTGATCGCATTCAAACACGACTCACACATTGTTTTAATCGTGTGCTATTCAGTTTCCAATCGCGTCTGTACGCGTTCGCTCCTTCTGTTTCAGACGCGTTTATTTTCCGAAAACTATTTACATCAAAAGTCTAATAAACGCATCCATACGCTTTTCTGTTTCGAAAAGCGTGTGGATGCAAAAACATTTGCACTGTAGACACTATTAAAAAAAAAATCACTACTGCGTCACAACTACAACTTGGTACATTTACAATATTTATATCGCGATAACAGTGAATGTAGTCAAAGATCAACGAAGATTGGGTCAAGATCAACTATTACTTTCGGTCACAAATCTAATTTACCTAGCTTATTCTATACTTTTCTTCTATCATCGAAAGCACTCCGAAAACTTTGAAAATTTAATTTAGCACGAACATCGTTGATAGTCACAAACACAAGTAGAAATCTAAATGCAAGAGATCAATCACAAGAACAGACAAATAATGGTATTTTTATGTCAATGGATCAGATAAAAATGGCTACTTTTGTGTGCTGTATTGGGGGCACTAAAATAATGCTGGAAGGTCCCGTCCGTTCTCTTGGGGAAAGATCGAGAATCGTTCTTCAACCTACGCTTGCATCGTTTTTCTGCTACATTCAAAAGCTTGTGTAGTTCAGACAAGTGCTATTGCGACGAACTTGAATTCGTTTTCTAAACTTGACTTTGTTAATCGTATATGTGTCGGTATATATGTTCTGAAAGGCCTTCTTTGACTCTGTCAGAACTTGAATTTAAGTTACTTTAAAACTGGATGAGAGGTGCCCCAAAAATGAGCCAAAACAACTAAACTACCTTTTCCATAAATTTACGCTAAGCAGCACGAGTTTTCTTCCTTCTTGATGTGTAAAATTAAATTAAATGTTCTCAATTAAAATGTAACTGTAACAGAAACTGGAAAATAGCGAGCGACATTGTCTTCATGAATACACAAGCAGCTGAACGGGGTTTCGCTGACACCGTTCACACTGTCAATGTATTTGATTTCCATTCTTCTTTTCACACGTACGCAAAACTGCAATAAGGAAACAGTAACTGTACAAAATTTTGTATGATACATTACGAAAAGATAAGAAACACATTTTCTACATCTACATCAAACCTGAGTTTTAAATGAAAATGTGGTATCAATGCCGGTATTCTAAGAATTTTTATGATGAAACACTTCCAATAAAAATGTACTGGCTTTATGATAATCCATATTGCTGATAATGTACTTGTATCTCTTTAACCAGCGAAACACCGTTCAGCTGCTTGTGTATTCATGAAGACAATGTCGCTCACTATTTTCTAGTTTTTCTGTTACAGTTAAATTTTAATTGAGAACATTTAATTTAATTTTACGCGTCAAGAAGGAAGAAAACTAGTGCTGCTTAGCGTAAATTTACGGAAAAGGTAGTTTACTTGTTTTAACTCAGTTTTGGGGCACCTCTCATCCAGTTTTAAAGTAAAATTAAATTTAATGTTCTCAATTAAAATGTAACTGTAACAGAAAAACTGGAAAATAGTGAGCGACATTGTCTTTACTGATGAATTGTGTCAGGACCGTGTGCTCTACACAAAAAATACAGCGAGAGAAATTCTAATTTGCTTATGATCCCAAAATGACACATTTCTTGTATTATTTCACGCAAACTGGGACATTTTATTAGCAGAAAAAACAACAACAAATATATGATTTCATACAAGAGAATAAACTATCTGGCATGTTTTATTGTTTGTTTGTTTCTGTATGTTGAGTAAGCAGTAGAGAATTGCAGACGTCAGATGAGTACTAAAGTGGTCCATCTCAATTAATACTAATACCAATCAATCCGACTTCTGGCATTGACACAATCTAAATGGCTTCAAACCACTACCTTCGTAGTACACTAGCATTCCGATATATAATGAACTGCTGACTGCAACCGCTCTACTGCAGCGGACGATCTTAGTCTCAACGCAGTCTATCCATGAAGCGGCATCCAGAATTAGCACTCGTACCAGACAGATGGGAAGATCATCCTTTTTACTTTTAACTACGCGTAACAGTACGCTAAATCTGCCTGCATGCTACAATCTTGAAACTTTCCAATAAATAGAATTTGTGGGAACGAACAAAGCTCTGCTAGGACCAACACGCTCATAAGCTTCGTTCTATGAGAAGCGTGATTTGTACAGAAAAAATTTTTCCATAGAAGGAAACGTCCGAGTGTGTTGGCTCTGGCAGAACGTCCTATTGTGATCTACTTATACCGCAAACTTCACTATCCTAGCCTGTTTCTACACAGAGTTGTACCGTAGTGCCATTTAAAGCACTTGAAGCTTCAAAAGTAAAATCGCGCACCCCAAGCATCAAAAAAAAATCTAGTATCGCCGGATTCATCTAGATTACTATATTTTTACTCGATTGCAACTACTGTGTAACGACCGTGGAAATCTAGTAATTGGGCGATTACTAGATTTTTTCTAGTTGCAACTATTAATTTATCTCCCTATAATCGATCGATTTAATTATTACTAGATGCACCTGCAGACGCATCTAGTTGAAAGTCCCTTTTCCAACTAGTAATCTGGATGGTACTAGTCGTGTATCGCCCGATTATAGACGAAATGTATCCAGATTTTTCCCATAGGTGATATTTGCTTGAGACTGATGATCGATTACTTAACTAGCATGAAGAAGACGTAGTGGCTCAGTTAGTAGAGTATCTGCTTGATAATTAGTAGGTACCGGGTTCGATACTCGGCTGTCGCGCGCCTTTTTCAGTGTCTTTTTTGCCGGAATAACCGAGCTATCCAGCCATTTCAGGTTCATCGAATCATTCTGGATCTCGTCAGATCTGCTTTCCGGTCACTTTCAGGCTGGATTCTGTTATACAAGAATGAACTAGCCTTTGAACTACCTCTTCTTCGGTTACATCATCTTTGAAAGCTTCTATACTATCATCCGCATCCTCCTACACAACTACTTTTAGCCTCTTCACTTTCTCGCGAGCAAAGAATAAACGAATTTGAAGGCGAGTTCGTTGAGGTTAGATAATTCTGCAACTCGAGCAGCTAGTCTAGCTGCTCAAAAAAATGCAAATGTGTGAGAAATCGATTTTTGGCCAGAACTCACACTAATACATCTCGTATCCCATTCTCGTGTGATCTAAACTGTAAACTATGTCGAAATACACATGTGTACCAATTTTAACTCTCAAACGACTTCAGGAGTGAAAGTTGCAAATGCTCATATGGATTGTCAGCATGCATAACATAAGTGATAAAGTTTCAACTTTCATTCCTGAAGTCGTTTCTTTCCCACTGTGTCCCTGATCCTAAATCTGTCTTCATAGTACATACGAAATCAGACAGAAATAGATACTCAGAGATGACGTATTATCTCATATGATTCTAGACTTACAGTCAAGAGAAAACTGGGAGAAATTAATCTGCAAATGAGTTAAGTGATACTATGATACATTAAATATAGAAATCTAGTTTTCTTCGGTTGAATTTTGTTGTTCTTGTTGATGCAATCTTTCTGCGATAGTGTTAATATTTTCTTCATCTTTTATAACATCTAGATGACCCGGTTGTAAATATTTCAGACTAATTTCATTTGATTTCTTCATGTGTATTAATGTATGTTGAAGGTCACCGTGTCGATAGTACGACAACGATAAATTTTTGTAACATAGAGCTAAGTTTGAATGGTACTGATGGGGTGAATTAATCATATTCTCAAGCGCCAGCGTCAAATATTCAATGGTTTTAGGGTAATCACCAAGCTCGTAGTAAACTGTAGAAATGTTATTACAATTCGCTGTAAGTGATGGATGATTCTTCAGAAATATTTTTAACCCAATTTTTGTAGATTCAAGACATTTCCAGTGCTTTGGTATAATGTTTTTGTTCAATGAACAACGTTCCTAAACTATTAATACTTACTAATTTACTTGAATTGCACCGAAGAGCACTAAAAAGACTAGAAATATTACGAGGATTATTACTGTCCAAAACACGTGGAAGTGCTAACAGATCAAATTTTTCTGCTTTACCATAGTATGACATCGCTTCCATCAACCTTGCCATACATAAACGGACCGTTAACATATATTGACTTTCTTATATGATCTAAAAGCTTTCGTAGGCCTTCGTCTTCATCACCGGTTAATTTAAGGTTTACATTCCACAATACACTACTACTCATCTGTGTAACTGATTCTGTTCGAAATACGGCTCCTGTTGCAATTAAAATCTCATTTTCCTCGGAAAAAGTGCTTAATGACGAAATATCAGCATATGAAAATTTCTCTAGAGTTGTATCAATATCAATTCAAAATAGAATACTTGTTTCTGTTTCACTACTATCACCTTCATCTGCAAAAATAGCAGCTAACTCTCGATCGACAGTTGTTGATTTACAGATAAAAATCCGCCTTCATTTGAAAGTATTTTAAGTTCGAATTCGTTTTCATTTATCAATTAACCACGATAAACAGTAATCTTTTGCGGTACAGGTGATGTGATTGATTGTGCAGTATCAATTAATTCTAAATAAAGATCTTTAATGAAGTATCTCAGTGCATAAAGTACGCCGATGTCTTGTTCTCGTAGAGCTTTATTAAGTAGGCGATAAAGAAATGTATCACGAGTGTAATGTTTGTGCAGAAATATTCGGGCACAAAAACGACCGACCTTAGGCGCCTCCCTTCTTTACTTTTCTTTTAAGTGAATATTTTCATCCGTGATAGAATTCACTACTCCGACTTTTGAAGGCTTCCTCCATGAATCATACATAGTCAACAAGAAATCATTTTTTTCGGTAGTTCTTAGATGTGTCAAAAAACTCGAAAAAATAATCTCTGTACTGTCGTTTTTTCTCATGGCACTTAATTCCAAAGTCACTCTTCTTTTTGCTCGCAATTTACATAATTTTATGAAATCCATGCAACCTAATAGCAAGTTGATAGTTATTCAAAAACCACCAGCATCGATACGAGCTTCCTTTAATTTAAAAGATAAGATTGAGAAACGTATGCAATCAAACATTGTTTATGATATTCATTGCAGAGACTGCACTGCTAGTTATATGGGGAAAAGAACCCGACAAGCTTGTAGATGATCTTGGGAGCATGGCCTCCCAAAGGATCATCCTATGCTTTTGAATAGTTTTGATGATCTTTCTACAAGCACCAATCTATCAGCGTCATTTCAGTCCGCAGGTAAATTTGCTCCACAATCAAATATTTCAGATACAGGAAGAATTAGATTAAAGAGAACCACAAAAGTGAAAGCAGCTAGTCGAATAACAAAGCAAATTACTGAAATGAGCAAATCTGATGAGTGTATAGATCAAGAGAAAATGCTGACATTTAAGAAATCAGCTATCAGTAAGTACTGTGAAGAGACCGAACATTCAATTGATTAGAATAGCTGGCGATTAATCGATCAAGATTCTATTGAATACTAATTATTACTCAGAGAGTCTCTTTCTATCACTTTATACACTCCAACTCTTAATAACCCTGTTAGATCAGTCTCTCTAATTGTTTTCTCTGATGGACTATCTAGAAAGAAAAAGAAGTTTGATCCAGGCGGTAACGTTCAATAACAGAAAAAGAAGAGAGGAGACTCATCCCTATATGTCAAAATTTCCTTTCTCTTTCTTTCGCTTACAGTCATCACATTTCTGTTTTTTTCTTATGTAGTATATGAGTGAATCGTATTTTAGTTGTACGATTTGTGGGAAAAAATGTAAGTAACTTTATCAAAAATCTGAGTCAACCAGACTATTCTCCATAATTTTCTAAGTGCCAGGTAAAAATTGTCAAACTATCAAGGGTCTACCGGCTGAGATAATAGAAGTACAATTTCCTAATGTATTAAATTAACGGTGACCCGTGATATTTTCAAATAACTTCTAATAGAAACAAGATAGAGACCTACGATTTACGCAGGATACCTCTAGGCAGCATCATCCACTAGCTTACGAGCAATCGAGCGGGAAATATCACCT